GTTTGTCCTAAGAGGAAACAATCAGTTAAACTCAAAAAAATTTTAATATCTATTTTAATGTCTTTTAACAAAATCCACAAGCATTTTTTAAAAAAGATATACATAAGTTCATACAGCAGAACGCATAGGCAACTTTTATCAAAACTCAGCTCTTTCAATAAACATCTGACGTAATTTACAGTGGCTCAGTCCAAGTAGCCTAAACGCATGGGTATGGTCCGAAATAAATATAAGTATTATCTAACTAATATTACACTGAGATAATTCCTTGTACTTATATGTATTATTATATTTTTTGTATTACATATAAGGTAACTATGCAATGTATACACCAGTTAACATCAGACTCAAGCTGGTTATACGTTATATAACTAATTGCTTTTATACTATTTTTAGACGTTTATACCGCTTTCATAATAATTGATATTTTATATTGCTGACCACCTTTTATATTTTTATATAACTGACTATCCTTTATATTCTAAGTACCAATTTAAATCATTTTTTGGTTGTATATACATTGGCTTAGATACGAAAATCTATTTCGGCCTTTAGTTTCTTGAGGGCCCCATAATGCTGTATAACTTTTAAACAGCGAAACCAGTCGCTCAATCTTTGTCTTAATAAATACCTACAACTTCACTCGGATTGTAAGTATAAGACCATTCTCCCTAACAGTCATAACTAAAGTACCATTTTATCGTAGGTTTTTTCAAGGTCTACTTGGGTTAAATGGATAGTTGACCTTCCTTCTATGCGTTTCTCTATAAGCTGTTTAATAGTGAATACCTCGTGGTTACAAGAGCGATCAGTTTTATTAAAATAGTTCGATTTTAATACTTGTCCATAAAATATTGCTACAGAATATATTATACTAATCCCCATGTAATTTTTGCAGTCTTTCCTATTCCTTTTCTTATAAATTCAAGATATGATGACTCTATTCTATTCTTTCGGTGGCGGCTCGTCTTTATTGAGGCACTTATGAAAAATAAGGCCCATTAATTTTGAGCAGTTTGAGTAGTTTGTTACTTATATTTTCTGGACCACATGCCTTCCCTTTCTTTAGCTGCATGAAACTTTTCCGTACTTTTCCTGTAATTATTCCTTGTTTCTTGTTAATTATTTCCTTCGTAGATTTCTTCTTAAGTTTCTTTCTGAAATTAGATTCTATCTTCCGTTGGGAGCTTATGATAATATTCTTTCCACTCTTAAATGTCAAGAAGATGTGTCCTGCAGCGTCTTTATTCTGTGTTCGTCGTTCTCTAATAACGTTTGAGTCTATATTATGGTTTTACCAGTAGTATTCTTTAGTTCACTTTTTACTAATCTCGGCAGTTCCAGTAGCTGTTCATTTGTCGTAAGCTTTCTTCTTCTCTTTCACCAGAACTTCTAGTTTAAGGGTACACCAAGGCATTTCATTCTTACAGATTTATTACAAGCTTTTTCCCCAGAGCTTCTTTTGCAGCATCAAAATATAAAGTTTAGCGTTAATATGTTTTCTATTAACTCATCTTTATATGCGTAAGTTTGCCCGCCAGTAGTAGTTGATATATGATAAAGATAAAGAGTCAAATGAACTTTGCTAATATAAAATCCTAGATAAAATCTCTTTTACTTGTACTATGACTTTACAGTTTTAATTCGTGATTTTTATAACGACAGCTTTATCAAATCTCGCCATCAGCTTGCCACTGCTGTGTATGCAAGCGCTCCTCTACCTTCCACTTCCACGTATACGCGCTGGAGATGGAGCACTTACAACGGTATAAAACGAACTCTGCTGCAAAAGAGAACGGAGTCTAACCAGAGTAGTGATCTGGTGCGAGCTCTACCGACCCTTTGGGTATTGATCAATGGGAAACCTTTATAAGACCTCTACCACAGTATTGATCTGATAATAACTTCACCGGGCCCTTGGGTATTTATTGAAGGCCAAAGCGTCCCGCCGGTGAGCAAATATTGCTTGTTTACTTCCCATTCGAGTATTGATCGATTCGGCCACCTCTAACCCAGAATAAATAGTGATTATTCTTTCTCCTTGATGCTTGGATACTGACCAATACATCGCCTTTTTCAATTTTCTTAACATTACCCATATTTTATTTTTTTGCAGGTACTTACAGTGAGTCGTAGCGTCATCTTTTACCAAGATTGGTATTCTATTTTTCATTGTACCGGGTGGTCCAATAAGCCGATCTCTCGGCTATATATCAGAAAATATTCATGTTATAACTTTAGGAGAAAAAATTCCTTAGTAAAAGTGGCCAAGAGAAATCGCTGGAAATAAATAATCGCTGTGGATAAATACCTATAACTTTGATTTTAATTAACCGATTTTAACGAAATTGGTGTCATTAGAAAGAGTGTGGATGATTTAATTTACATCTACTATAAAACAATTTAGTTTTAATTGTCATGGGTAGAGGGTACCACATGTTAATAGCTTTTGTTAAACTCGAGATATCAATAAAAACGCATAAACATAAGTAAGTATAGTATTGACTCACTCTGTGTTATAAATTACTTTAAAAAATAAGTCAGTAGGTACTTTCAAATTCTTTTATAGCAGAAGAATCTATTTGTTATTTCATATGATTAAAAATAGTTTTTTTGAAACTATGTAAGTAGGCTACGACAATGAATTTGACGGGGAGTTCATATTGTTTATTTATTGACAGCAGTCAAAACATTGTTAAGAAGTGTTACATTATATTTTTTTGTTTTGGCCTTAGGCTCAAGACCTATTTAGCCAGACAATATAGGTTGAATACGTAAAAACAATCTCCTACACTTCCTATAAATTCATGACAATTTCCTAACCGTTCGTTCATTCGCACATTTACTCAATTTCCTAACCTTCCCATTGAAAACACTCTTGGGTATATATTATAATTCGAATTGAAGATTGCACTTTTTTCAATATATATTAATATTGGTAATATTAGTAATTAATTATCAGTACTAATAATTCGTGATGAGTATATCAAATGCAGAAATATATGATATGATTCGAGTTTATTACGAATGTCACCAAAATGCCGCTATTGCCTCACGTATATATTCTGTAAGATATCCTGACAGGAGACATTATGGCAAAGAAGTATTTGAAAGAAAGGCAAGAAGATTAAGAGAAACTGGTAGTGTTCATCGTCATTGTTTTAAACGACGTTGTAGAGGTATGACCGAAGATAATTCAATCAATGTTCTTGCTTTAATTCAACAGAATCCACATATAAGTAGTCGGCAAATCGCTATAGAATTAGACATACCCACATACCCAAAACTACTGTTATAAGGATTTTAAAACATTGCAGGTTGGTTTTTCATATTATAAACTAAACGTTTAGGTCAGAAATTCCCTTTAAACTTTAGATTCAACTGTTATTTTAATATTCCGGTAAAAACGGCAACACGGCATTTTTATCCTTTTATCTGTTTCTTAAAAATACTAATGCACGATTTATCTTGAGAAACAATTGTGGATTTTTCAAGATTTTTTGAGTTTTAATAAATATAGTGGGTTTCTTTTTCACCAATATTTGTTGTTCTGTTTTTTAGACTGCATCCTTATCATGTAGTTCTCCACCAAGCTTTACATGAGACAGATTTTGATGCAAGGCTGAATTACTGCAATTGGATGTTAGGTCTGCTAGAAGAACAACTGCATATCATGTCAAAGATTTTGTGGACAGACGAGAGTGATTTTCTGGAAAATCAGTTACCTGTTTTATTGGAAGATATTTCCTTACAAACAAGAAGAGATATGATATTACAACATGACAGGTGTCCTGCACACTTTCCCAGACAAGTTTGAGATTATTTGTATGCAATTTATCCAAAGAAATGGATTGAAAGAGGAAGTATATTTTCATGGCCAGCTAGATTTCCAGACTTAACATGTCTGGACTTTTATCTGTGGAGAAAATTGAAGGACTTAGTGTACCAAACTCGACCAACCACGCGAGATGACATGAAACAGCGCATTATAAACGCAATTAATAGTATATAAACAGCTGAGATTGAAGCAGCTGTTATGTATACGCACGAAAGATTACATCTTTGTTTGGACAACGATGGAAAACAATTTGAACATTTAACTGGACATTAAGTTTTAATGATTGAGATATTTTTATGATCTTTCACATATTTAATTTAAGTTATAAAGGATGAGTCAATACTATACTGATTTACGTTTATGCATTTTTACGTTGATTGAAAATCCCAAAAAAATTTGAAACTAAAAGGTAAATTGTATAGGACTGCCTTTAGACCAGCTATGATGTTTGGTACAGAATGTAGGGCAGTAAAAAAGGGGATGATCAGAAATTACATTTTCTAAAATCCATATACTCATACAAAAAGCGGAGGAGGTACTTAGTCCCTGGAAGAGAACAGAAAATAAAAGGTTAGAGGAAAATACTTAGAGAAGCCGATTCCACATAGAGAAACCTAATGAGAATAATAATGGTAATGAATATTCTAGAAATAAAAATTATAAAGAACCTCTAAATCTTAGTAAAAAATAACTAAACAAAAAAATTAGAAACAATATCTATAATCTAATAAAAAAAAAAAGCATCACTAGCATTTTTAATTTCTAATAAAACTGTACTAGTCAGCTTAATCCTAAAATGTGAATATCATCCGCTTGTACTAATACCACAATATATTGCTAATAAATTGTTTACCGACTTACTGTCGAAACGAAAGTTAGTGAGCGCCATGATATGGTCGTCTTTTTCTAAGCAGTAGTCTACCTACCGGAAGATAATATTCATGTTATGAAATGGCTAATGCCGTAGAGGTAATTTTATCTTATGCGTACTGTTAATCAAAAAAAGTTATTTTGAGTAAAAACTCTTGTTGTAAGTCACGCATTAATTTTACCCAGACGTATATATAAAGATTTAATAAAGCTGTATCTGCAATACATAATATTACATTACCAAGTTTATCTAGTTTATCATTGTTTTAATGATTGTTTTTATTTGTTTCAGTGAAATGGTGTCCGCCTCAGAAAATCACACGTTCTATGGGATGGACAACTACGGCTTACAAGATTCAAGCTGCAACTCAAAAAGATTGGGTAGGTCCGTTAGCGTTAATGTCGACGCTACAAATCTACACCTTTATCGGACTCCTACTTCCAACACTATTTTGCGTTGGAAAAAGGCTACGGATGATCCAGAAAACATTTTCGAAGAAGAGCTTCCCTCAGATGACTTCGAATATATGGAATGTGGTCCTTCACCTCCTGCTGATCACACACCGCATATTTACGAGAGCTTTGAAGAATTTTCAACTAGTGCCGATCTAACAGTTCAAATATGTCACGATACAATCAAAACCAATCTTTTAGAGCACATGAAGGTATCTTCCGGCCGGCATCAACTTTTAGATGATATAGAAAGTAAAAAAATACAGAAAGATAATTTACAAGATCATTTTAAAGGTGCTTCCAAGGTAGAAATTAATACTGCATTCTTATGGGCTGCTTTTATGAAAAGACATGATTTATTAGATGGTTTTCTTAATTTAGGAGCTGACTTGCACTACTTTGAACCGAGTCAAGGACTAAGTGCAATACATTTGACCTCGTTTAGTGGATGTGTGCAAGGAACCAAATTTCTTATAGCCAAAGGCTGTGATGTTAATGCGCTATATAAGTGCTATAGTCCTTTACATTGTGCTGCATTTGGTGATAGTCCAGAGACAGCTTTAATACTACTCAACAATGATGCTAATGTCCAAACTCTTACCAATAGCCCGCACAGTTCCCACGAAAGTGTCTTACATTGTGCTGTGCGAGCTAATGCTATTGCTTGCGTTAAGCTATTTACTCAAGAAGGTGCTGATGTTGCCCAAAGTGAAATCTCAGGATTTTCCCCGGTTCATCTAGCTGCTGATTTGGGTCATCCACAGTGCTTAAAAATATTGCTGGAACCAAAAAAGTTTAAAGTAAATACAAAAACGAAAGATAAGGAACAAACTCCTTTGCATTTGGCAGCTGAAAGTGGTTATGTTGATTGTATAGAGATTCTTCTTGACAATGGTGCAGATGCGAATATTAGAAACCATAGAGCACAATCCCCCTTACATCTTGCAGCTAGAGCTCAAGCTTATGACTGTGTTGAGTTGTTACTAAGGAAAGGTAATTCTAATCCTAATATGGGAGACTGTGATAAAAGAACACCTCTACATTGCGCTGTAGGAAAGGCAGCCCGATCTTACGACATCATAGAAATTTTAGTGAATTATGGTGCAGATATTAATACTAAAGACCAATATGGGTATGCACCTTTACATATAGCAGCTCTAAATGAATTGTCACAGTGTGTAGAAGTTTTAGTATATCATGGTGCTGATGTTACAGCTAAATCAAAGTTTGGTATGACAGCATTGGGTATAATTACGCGAAAAACTCCAGCTTCTCTAGCAATGATAACACAAAAATTAGATTCAGCTATAACTTTACACCATCATCCTGAATCATCTAACAGAGAAGTAGAGCTGCGCCTGGATTTTAGAGGAATATTACAATATTGTCACCCTAGAGAAATAAGCTTTTTAAATACATTTGTCGATGAAGGACAAAAAGAAATTCTGTTACATCCGCTATGTTCCGCTTTTCTCTATTTAAAATGGGAAAAAATTAGAAAGTATTATATAGCAAGAATGTTATTTTGTTTTATATTTGTGTTAAGTTTATCATTATATGTATTAACAGCGTTAGCGCATAACTGTTATAACCATGGTAAGAATATGAATGATACTCAACCGCAAAATGTCATAGAACTTTGTGAAAAGAAATCAATGATGGGTCATATGCTTCGAAATAACCCATTTGTTATAGAGATGCAATGGTTTGTGCTAGTTGGTATAACAGGCTGCGAAATACTTAGGAAACTCTATGGATTAGCAGGATATCCATCGGTAAGACAATATCTTTCACATCCTGAAAATATAATAGAATGGACAGTTATAGCAAGTGTTTTTGTCATCTCTTTCATTTATACTGGTCGTACCTATACTTGGCAGAATCATGTAGGTGCTTTCGCCGTACTCTTTGGTTGGACTAATTTAATGCTAATGGTTGGGCAACTTCCAGTTTTTGGATCATATGTTGCAATGTACACGAGAGTGCAAGGCGAATTCGCAAAATTACTCTTAGCTTATTCATGCCTACTAATAGGGTTTACTATCAGCTTCTGTGTTATGTTTCCAGACTCATCAACTTTTGCTAACCCATTCATTGGCTTAATTACTGTCATGGTAATGATGACTGGTGAATTAAGCTTAGATCTTTTGGTTGATGATGATCCGGAAGATCCACCATTTTTATTAGAAGTTAGTGCTCAAGTTACATATATTTTATTTTTATTATTCGTAACTGTAATTTTAATGAATCTACTTGTAGGTATAGCTGTACATGACATTCAAGGTTTGCAGAAAACCGCTGGTTTGTCAAAATTAGTTAGACAAACTAAACTAATTTCTTACATGGAGCTTGCTCTGTTCAATGGTTATTTACCTCAATATTTGCTAAATTTATTACACTGGACTGCTTTGGTTTCACCGAAAGCATACAGGGTAGTTTTAAATGTGAAACCTCTAAATCCTCGGGAAAAAAGGTTACCAAAAGATATATTGAAAGCAGCACATGACATTGCCAAACAACGTAAAAACTATGGACATACCATTTCGTCTAGAGCAAGCGAAATGACTTACTCAAAAAAAGTTGTTAATAACAACCTAGATCAAAATTCTGAAATTATGGATTGTAATACAGCGTTACCCCTTTTGCATAGTAAGATTGAAAAAAATAGTGAACAAGTTGAACATCTAAGCAAAGAAATTAGAGAACTAAAAAGTGTCATTGAATCAAATCAGAGGCTCGTTGAGCAATTATTAAATACCATTTTACAAAATAGAAAAAATAGTAAATGTTAGCTTTAAATTTAAACTGTTCCAAGAAATTAACGCACCAAATAGTTATTTTAATTTTTTTTGTTGTGTTTATTTGTTTTGGTACTACTATCCTCTACGAATTTTTAGGTCTTTGTACATAAAAATTTTATACTATGTCTTCCTTTCTGTAAGTTTTCATTATAACATTAAAACCAAAAAATATAGATAAGAACTGAAGTTTTACTTGAAGGATTTTATTTGCTACATTACCACACGCGCTAAGAAAACTTAATACAATTTCAACAATATTACGGCAGTTCTGATATAAATTACATGTAGATCGTATCAGTTTACAACCCAAATTCACCACAGAGAGAAGAGATACCATAGTTTTCCAAGTGTGTTTGGTTATGCCGAGTTACCTTCCTATTTAGTTCTATATCGATTTTAATGAATTCTAATTTTAATGATTTTTCCCTGCTGCGCATATTGCATTGTTATTTAAAATTGGGTTTTGACTTTGTAAATTTGGTGACTGGGTTATCTTTGGACAAGATATTTTTTAAGGGTCGTCGTACATTCAGAAATTAGATATTATTCGATCATTACTTAAATGCCTAAATGTTCATCATCATCATAGTCACTAACATCTTAGCAGATGTACTGTGGTTCATCTTGAGCAACTCGGATAGTTTCATTAATTATATTTCTTCACTGGTCGCAATTTCTTGTTACATATACTGCTTCAGTAAATTCTTTGTTATAGAGCTTTATTGTAATGTCTGCCCATCGCAGTGGGATCTGAGGCATTCGCGTTGACTTGGGGCCTTTTATAGACTAACTACCGCTGATTGAGTTTAATTTTATCGAGAACCGAGACATTTACGTTTTTACTGTGTCAGTTCTTGCATGAATAGTAACATATAAAGAATACTAGAGTTAAAACGAATCTCTTCTTGTTTGTTTTAGTATTGTAACAATCACATAATACCCCGTTTAGTTCAGTCATTGCTACTCTTTCTAGTTGTATGCATCTTCGAATTTCAGGTTCACAACCCAAATGTTACCTGTGGTGAAGTCGGAGGATATACTCTAGAACAACATTGTTCTTTGACCCGAAACACAAATCTTCTGGTAATTATTACTGATAGCCTTGCTAAATATGTGACTAATACTCAGCTTATCGGACACGCGGCATTTTTCATTATACCAAAGAGCTGCATATTCTGAACTCAGTTGACTGAAGTGACTTTCTTAAAAGCCTAGACCTAAGAAACTAACCACAGATGTTCTGTATACATAAAAGATCTTTTAAATAATTCCAACTTTATTGCTTTTGGCCTCACTGTGTTAGCCATTGACCCCTCTTCTCTATTGTTAGGACAAATGCTAGTTGAATGAGTATCATGAACACTCGCCGATACTGAGACTTGTCTTATTCTTTATAATGTCTAGATAGACTTGCGTCTATTCCGTACAAACTGAAATTTGTGGCTTAATTCTTTTCTTTTTCTTTTTGTTTGTTGATTTCTGCCAAATTATTTATTAAAATATTTTACACGTGTCTCGTACATGTTTAGATCCTAATTCTACCTCGTTTACGGATGTCATGCGCTCCATTGTCTTCTTGGTGATTTATCTTAAGCGATTTACTCTTCTTTATTCGAACCTTCAATATGTTCATTCCTTTTTTATTGTTTAAAGTCCAGTGATTCTTCGTTCTCTGTCTAGGGATATCTTTTCAGCTCTTTTACAGCTGAAATACCTTTAGTTTCTAAGTTAGTTTTTGTTTAATAGCATATTCTTCTTCTTTCAGTACCCTGTCCGATTATCGAACGTTAGCGATCATATTGGCAATAATAACTTTGTTTACGGCGGCTCTAAATAAATTAGCGGTGGTCTCTTGATACCATTCTCGGATATTTCGGAGCCAGGATGTTCTTAGTCGGCCTGGGCCTCTCCTTCCGGCGATCTTACCCTGTATTATGAGGTGTAGAAGGTTATACCTCTCTGGATGTCTCATTACATGGCCGAAATCTTGTAACTTTCGAATTTTTATCGTTTTTGTTATTTCTGTGCTCTTTTTCGTTCGATGTAGAACTATTTCATTTCTTATTCGATCAACCCAACTTATCCGCAATACTCGTCGATAAATCCACATCTCAAAGGTCTCTAATTTTTTCCTTAATGTCTCTGTAAGGGTCCAGCTCTCCATACCATACAGCAATGTGGAGAATATGTAGCAGCGTATTATTCTGATTTAAGTTTAACGTAATATCTCTATTAATTAGAATTTTCTTTAATTTATAGAAGGCGGCTCTGGCTTTTTCAATGCGTATTTAATAGCATGCTAGGTTTTAAAGTTGTCGTGTAGATTCTTAGTTTGGTCAGGATGTTTTGTTGTAGTATATTCATATAATTTGAATATTCATTAATTTTTGTTCTTGTTTTTTGCGTCAATATCGCCAAAACTTGTTTCTATGGCAATATAAATTCTCGTCAATATAGCACTAACATGTTGATGTACACATTTGCATATAATATAAGTACAATAATTGTCTTTTGTCCTAAATTGCTTTTAAAAAATTGAATGTGGTGGAATAGTTAGAGTAAAGACAAGATTATGATGTACCAAGGTTAGTCCTATTTAAAGTTGTAGTAATATGGACTTTAAGTATACCCTAGTAAAGTTTTAAACTTGATCAGTAGTAAATTTTAACTTGATCAGAAATTAAAATCTGCTTTGTACACAATACTGATATTTTTTTGGTTATTTTATTTAAAAATATATTCTACAATTTTTCTAGAATTTGAGTCATAATCAAATTATATACATAAATACAAACATATCCCTTTGATGCCGTTTTTTCTTGGAGCAGTGTGTATAAAACACCTAGGGGAGACATATTTTTGGAAAGTTTTGTGATGTGTCATTGAATAACAAACATTTGTTGCACATAAAAAACATAAAATCTGTAAAGAGAACGGTTGTTGTTTAAAAATGCCATTCTTAAATTAGTTATAAAAAAACAACCTTTCAATGTTTGGATACACAACTAATATATTATGGTCCTAAAAAGTATATGTATTGATTTGAATATAGATTATATTTCTTGTTATTAGCATTCAAATGTTGTCGATATTTATGTTAATATTGTCAAAAATATTCTTATATCATAAAGATATTATTATGATATGTTTCTGTTTGTGCTGCTGATCTGGTACATTCTATTTTTGTCCTGTTTTATCAATTTTTGGGATGAAGAACATAATTCAAAATAAAAAAAGGTTAGGTCAAAAAGAGTTCATGGTATCAAGTAAAAAATTATATGAAGTCAATGCTCTCTCATAACATTTTTTTGTTTAACATTATCCAAGATACTATTACTACTACATTTAAATATTTTTAACGTTTAATTATCCAAGATGTTCAAATTGACCTCCTTAAACACTTGCATAACAGAAAACGGTTAATGGATGAGTCACTTATATTACGAAGCATTTGTACACTAGCACTTCGAAATACATTGCGTATTCTATCTTTCATCTCACCCCTTTTTGTTGGAGGTAATTTATAGACTTCATTCTAAACGTAACCCCAAAAAAGTCCGTTTTATTAAATTCTGGTGATCTGGGTGGCCACGCTACTGGTCCATTTCTTCCAATCCATCCATCGGGAAACTGATATTCAAGTTCACCTTGAATCCATGAATTATGGTGGACAGGAGCACCGTTATACAAAAACCACATTTTTCACGTATAGGAAATCTTCCAATAATATGGACAATTGATTTACTAAAAAATCACCATTTAGACTGTCTTAAAAAATATATTGTCCCACGCCATGGTTACCTGTGTTATACGTGTGTGTATGTGTATACCCTACATCTAATTTAGTAGTTTTTGAATAGTTTATTCCTCTTCATGTGTATTCAAACCTCTTCCCCGCTGGGGCGCTACTTCTCGCTCTCTGGACCTTTTACGGTCCTTGCTATCCTTCTTATTGATTACTTTTAAGTAGATTCTTCGGAAGTATAGCATGTAACAGAGTTAATTTCCATTTTTCTTTTTCATTTTGCATTCAGCGTCTCCTGTGGAGGTCGCGGATCAACATGGCTATTTGCAGTTTAGAAATCGCTGCACGGAATAATTACACCGATATCATTTCGAACCATTTACGAAGGTTTCGCAGCCAAAAATGCTTTTACGTTTCACGTTTGCATTATAAGATGTAGGAACTCATATTTTATACCTCTAAAGACGTGGCCAAGAATCTTAAGTTAATATTCTGTCTATACAGCACTGTTTGATTTATGACTCTATCCGTCCAGGGCACATTGAGATCGCATCTGGAGACCCACATTTCAAAGGTCTCTATCTTTTTAAGGAGTTCCTTATTTAGTGTGTAGCTTTCTATACTGTATAGCAGTATGCGTCGTCCGGAAAGCGGCGATAGAATACTTCCGTGGCCCTTTTCTCCGGTCCCTCGTAAAATACTGCCAGTGTGAAGAAATGAGAGATGGAGAGCCGTCATTTTAGATGTTGGGTTACAGAAATACAAGCAGCTCGTTTCGGCGCTCCGCATTCTATAGTTTCCTCACTAAAGGGGTCAGTTTCGAACAGTCTCTGATATTTACTTATCCGAGTACCGTTGTCTACAGCCTCTAGGAATGTGCCTTCGAAAGGATTTTCGAATTATTTAGATGACAGCATCATAATTTGCTGGGGTAGCTTCAAGGTTTCTCACTGCGCGGTCTATTTCAGCAGCGTATCTGTCCCATTTGGCTATTTTGGTATTGAATTTCGGGAATTCTGTTGGTTTGATCATTGACTGTACGTTTAGACTAACTGAACGGTGCCTTATTAATGAGATAGGGTCGTAGACAGTCACTTATGCCGGAGCCTTAAATTACGCCAGTTGCGAAAGTCAAGTCAGAGTTGTACGCGTTCGTCCATATTATGCTGTAGAACGATTTTGACAGTTTCACCCTATTTTCCATGGCCTGTCCACAAATGTCCGTTTCTGCATATTCCCATACTGTGTGATGGCTGTTGAAGTAACCTACGACTAAGTTCGGACTGGGCGATTGGAAGTTTTTGAAAGAGTAAAATACAAATTTCGTGTCTGGAGGCTTGTACACAAAAGAGCTGTGCTCCGAGTTTGACGGAGACGATTTCTGCGCCACCATGGTTTGTGCTGTCGGTTGCTATGGCAGTCAGGCCACTT